AGGGGGGGGTGAGGACAGATGCTCTGTTCTTTGGTTGGTGTTTATGGATTATGTTCACAGTAAATGTCACTGGTCCTGATTATGTCACCGGTCCCGATGATGTCACTGGTCCTGATGATGTCACTGGTCCTGATTATGTCACTGGTCCTGATTATGTCACTGGTCCTGATTATGTCACTGGTCCTGATTATGTCACTGGTCCTGATTATGTCACTGGTCCTGATTATGTCACTGGTCCTGATTATGTCACTGGTCCTGATTATGTCACTGGTCCTGATTATGTCACTGGTCCTGGTCCCGACGATGTCATTGGTCCTGATTATGTCACTGGTCCCGACGATGTCACTGGTCCTGAAGGTTTGATGAACTAACGTCAGTGCTGCTTCGCTTCGATGCTTCCTGGTTCCTGCACTACATGGTAGGTTCAGGGTCAAATCCCAGAATGCACCTGTGTTAATGCTAACACACGGTCATGTGTGTTAGCATTAACTTGTTATTTGCCCAGTACAACCACAGAGAGTGTCCTTTCTTTAAAAACCATAAATATTCAAAGTCCTACTTTGTGTTCTTAGACCCTGGTCTGGTCCAGGAGACAGAGTCCAGGTCCTCCGGTCTACAGAGGTCCAGTAGGGAGCACTGGTTTTACCCTGAACATTCTGTGCCAACTGAAACAAACTTCTGTCAGGTTGAGTTCATTTTTCTAACCCTACCAGGTCTGTATTGTGGTATTATTTATACTGCAGTACTTGTTAAATGTATACAGGTCTTAAGAACAAGTACTACTTCAATATTTACAGTAGGTCCAAAAGCCTGACTTTGGTCTCAGGCAGAGAAGACACTTCTCCACATCGACACTGTCTGAACATGAAGGAAGAAAATCTGATCATCAACGGCGTCAACGTAGAAGCTGCGCTGAGGCAGAACCGTGTGGTCACCTGGGAGAACAACGGGCGCAGCCGCGATTTAAGACTGTGGAAAATAACTGACATGGTTCACAGACACGAGTGTCAACACCACCCTGAGTGTGTGTGTGTGTGTGTGTGCGCGCCTTACACAGCTCTTGTAGTCTTAACCAGACAACCGTGGTCTGAGACCCCAGGGCATTGACCTCAGTGACGTTCAGGGTGTGGGTGGGCTGCCAGAAGGTGGAGTCTTCTATGTCACAGTGTTTGTGGATGACGTCCACCACACACGGCTTCCACCCTTGACCGTTCCTTAAACATCAGACGACAGGTTCAGGTGGTGCACACCAGTATTTTGTACTTTTTTCTTGGGCCAGAAAGACACAACCTACACACAGACACACTGTGAAACACGGTGTGTGTGTCTGTGTGTGTCTGTGTGTGTGTGTGTTTAAGTGACATTGAGCTTGGCCATTTAAAGTGCAGTAACTTGCTCTTACCTAAAGGAGGCAATGTACTGAGGCGGCAGGAAGGTCTTGACTGAGTCCACCCAGGAGCAGCGGACATGAGTGTGATTAGGCACCTGACAGGAAATGCTCAGCAGCCCTGGGGGATCTGAGGAGAGGGCAGTCAGACAGACCAGAGCTGTGAGGCCATCATGGAAAACTCCCCACACCTCCAAAGGAAGTCCACTTCCTGTTTGATACTTTGACAGGAAGTGGAGGGATTTGTCTATATGAGAATGTTGAACACATTTACACTAACATCAAAAAAGCTTTTCACAAAATGAAATATAAAGAAAATATACTGTAAATATATCATGTCAAATATATATACCACAGACGGAGAGTTGAGCTACAGACAGAAGGTTAAATAAAGAGCTGTTTGAAAGTCAACTTTAGGACAAAGACGCAGCGAGTGACAGGAAGTGAACCACAGGCCGTGGGCCTTGATCACATGACAACAACACTTACGGCCGAGCCTCAGTCTGACAGAGTGGAGGAGCAGCCCCTGGTTATCGTGGCAGACGTACACGCCCTCTGCTGAGTGGTCCACGTGGTGCAGGACCAACGAACCATCTGATGTCACCTGGTGCCACGGCAACGCTGCGCTGTGGTTCAGGTGCCATACCACCGGTGTCCTGATGGGGTCAGCAGTCAGTCAGTCAGTCAGCAGTGAAGACTTGGAACATCATAGACATACTATGTTTATGTTTACGTTTCCTTCACGCATTATCATTAAAAACATGTATTTCACATACACTGTTGGTTTCACAGTAGATTCACACACATCAGCTTTTCACCATAAAATATATACAACTGTGGATCAAAGGACTGAAGGAAATCTATGACGAACCCAAATGGAATCTTAGTAAATATGTTAGTAAATATGTTGGTAAATGTATTAGTAAATATGTTGGTAAATATGTTGGTAAATATATTAGTAAATATGTTGGTAAATATATTAGTAAATATGTTGGTAAATATATTAGTCAATATGTTGGTAAATATATTAGTAAATATGTTAGTAAATAAATATAAATAAAAACATATTCCTAACCCTACTGAGGCCACGGGCCGCACTTTGAACCACTCTTACCTGATTTTGGCCTTTCCACAGGCCAGCGTCACGTTGGCCCCCAAACGTCCGTACTGCATGTCTGACACTGTGAACACAGAGGAGGTGGTTAATGGAGGCTCCGCCTCCTCTGTACTAGGGGGCAGTGGTGGCTCAGTGGTCAAGTGGACTTGGGTCTGGAAGGTTTCAGGTTGGAGTCCACCGGTGAGGTGCTCTGAGCAAGGCACCGTCCACACACACTGCTCACAAAAAAATAAGTTTAAAGTTAAAAAACCTGCCGAGAAGTCCAGTGTGTTCTGATTGGTCGATGACTGAGGTCTGAACGAAGCACAGACTCATTCACAGTGAACTGATGGACTGACTGGGATTATTATTATTAATAATAATAATAATAATAATAATAATAATAATAATAATTTGGCTTCTTTGGGACATATTGTTGTTGTTGTTGTTGTTGTTTTTAATAGTTCCTACATTTAAATGACCAGATATTGTTGGCCATTTAAAATAATGGGATGAGTCGACTAACATTGATATCATCTGCAGGGGGCGTCAGGACGGACATCTGGTCCAACCAACGACAACAACATCACCACAACTGGTCCTAACGATGAGAGACTTCGGCTGAGCTTCAGACAGACATGGTACGGACCAGGTGTAGACTGGTACACCTGCATAAAATCCCAGAACCATTAAGTTCCTCTTCAAGGTGAAAACTGAAGGAACACAGAGTACTGTGTATCTGAACAAATATTTGTACTCCGTTGATACCAGCCTGTATGTGAACGTGCGTTCATTTGTTTGTCTTGGAGTAATCAGAGCTGCTGACGGCAGCAGGTCGGCCACGAACACCATTCCCCAGGCATGTACTGTGTACTGTCCTCCCTGCTGCCTTCTGCCTCCCTGGGTCTGTGCCGTGTTACTGGCCTTAACCCTTTGTGCTCCAGCTGAGTGAGGCCTGACTTCAAACGCTCCACGGTGATTTGTGCTCACGTCTATATTTCACTTCAGAGGATGTTGTATTTTAATGCCTTCTGCCTCCCTGGGTCTGTGCCGATGTTGTATTTTAGGGGGACATTTTGAAGGTCCCCCAGTTTTTAGGGTTAAAGTTACAACAATAAAATAGATGGAGATAAGATTGAAGTATGGATTAAGATTAGGATTATCTCTGTGTTTGGTTAATGTTAGGGAGCTAGGGAATTAATTACACCTTTGTGAAGTGCTCACAAAACACAAAAACTAGTATGTGTGTGTGTGTGTGTGTGTGTGTGTGTGTGTGTTACCTCAGGGCCTTGGTGCAGTGAAAGATTTGGCAGCTTTGAATGTGTGTATTCATGTTTTATTGGCAGTGAAGTACATTATTCCCCAAACCCACAGCGTTCCACTCATATCTGATTCTGCCTCTGACACACACACACACACACACACACGCACACACACACACACACACACACACGCACACACACACACACAAAAGAATGAAAAAGAACAGTTCGGCTGCAGAGTGAAATTAACTGGAAAAGAAAGTGGGACAGTTTCTCCGTGTGAGTGCCAGGGGGCAGTATTTCACTGTTGGTCAAACTAATTTTGGTAAAAGAAGAGATGACAGATGAGAAGGAGCTGAGGAAGAACGACCGAACGACGCTGAACAACAACACCGTCGTCTGACTGTTCATAAAGTCAGAAAATCTGGAAATGAAGTTCACTGGACAAAGAAGAGAATAGTACCAGGAACTGTCCACTGTGTCTGCTGCAGGAACAGGAACACAGCAGCCAGAGGTGTGTGTGTGTGTGTGTGTGTGTGTGTGTGTGTTACCTTCATCAGTCCAAATCTGAGCACAGCTACGACGAATCAGCCAAGTTAATAAGAAGATGACTGTCAGAGACACAGGACCAGACAGAAGACCTGGCATCTGAGAGAGGGGGGAGGAGGGGGAGGAGGAGGAGGGAAGCAAACAGTTGGGCTACGTTGGCTGGACACGGTCACACACCACAAATTCTTGTTTTACTGGAGTGGGTGAAATGAGAATGCATTATTCATCTATAGATCATTAATTATGAATCCACCAAAAAGCAGGACAGACGGACAGAAGGAAGGAAGGAAGGAAAGAAGGAAAGAAGGCCGAGGTGTGAAGTCGAGGAGTTAAAGCGTTTTTTTGCTGAGATTACACGTTACATATTTCATCCAGCAGTTTGACCTCAGAGTTTGAAGCTCCTCGTGTTTCAGCTGAGACTGTTGTTCACAGCAGACACGTCTTTAACCTGAACCCCTGGATGTGTTTCTCTCTCTTTTGTTTCTTTCTTTTTAATTCAATATTATTTATTTACTTCAATCAAACTGGGTGGTGAGGGGGAGCTGAGAGCAGCTCGACCCAGGAGACACCTGGCCTGGTCAGGGTAAACCACGGACAGATCTCCAGTCGACTTTGGAGCCTCATGTAAATACAAATAAAACATTCAGACTCTGCCCAAAGACTGATGCAGAGTGAAGAGCTGACCTCCTCCTCCTGTGGGCTGCTGTGGAGTCTAACAGTAGGTGCTCTGCTCTCACTCAGGTAGGTACTGATACCTGTAGAGGTTTAGGCCATAAAGAAACGAGTCCTTGAGGAGACGTTCACTTCTTCAGTTCTACCTGCTGTGAAATACTGGCACAATAACAGTGTTGTTCAGGTGTTGATACCCACGTTGTGTTACCACCAGCAGTTAATAATAATAGTTCATAAAACAGTTCTCATAACTAATCCCCCTCGTCTGAATCTTGAGCTAATTTTCAAAACCCAACCAGGAAACAACAGAGAAGAAAATGCTAGCATCCCAAGGCTAACATGCTAACATTCAGAGGCTCTAGTGTTCGCTGTGTGACGACCGCAGCCACAGTGAGTTCTGTTTCCTCTCCGTCACTCTGTGTCGTGAGGGTGACACCACGCCGCTGGTTCTACCCCGGGGGACGTTCACAGCAGGAGGCGGGGCATCAGACTGAGTGATGTCAGGAAACACACCAGCTGATGTCAGACGAGCCACTAGGTGTCAGTAGACAAACTACTCTAACTGACGTCGACTGGAAATGAAGACCAACCAAAGGAGGCGCTCCAGTCCAGCGACCAAACATCTGGAGCCTGAGGTTTGATCAACAGACAGATCAACAGACAGAAAAACTATTCACAGTTTTCCCAGTCGGATAAAGTACACAGTACACAGTAGACTAGTACACAGTAGACTAGTACAACAGTAGACTAGTCCAGCAGTAGACTAGTATAACAGTAGACTAGTCCAGCAGCAGACTAGTCCAGCAGCAGACTAGTCCAGCAGCAGACTAGTACAA